CAGAAAGGAAGTTCTCAACCTGCATAGTGGAGGGTCGGAAATTCAGCAATTTTGGGGTGTCGTTGAGTAGTTGCCAGGGCCAAAATTTTCAGTTTCGAACCGCAGCAGTTTAGGGTCATGTAAATGGACCCAAAACCTTCTGGGCCGGTATTCAATATTGTCGTGCAGAAAGGAAGTTCTCAACCTGCATCTGCAAAAGCCATAGACTTGCTCCTTACACTTTCCTGAGCTTGAAGACCTATAGTCGCCCTTGGGTAGATAGAATATGGAATGTTTCGGTGAAATCATTGCCTAATGACCCCCAAGCCCTGAAACCTTAATCACAAAAACCTGAACAGATGTCACACTACTACATTGTTGCTTTTCCTCCTATGCCAGGCGATTACCTCATTGCTTATACTCCTATGCTCGTAATTACGTAGGTTCTATACCTATTGCAGTGGCAACAAGGACGTTGACATCTTGCTTATCCGTAGAAGTGGATGCAGTGGCAACATGGATCTTAACATCTTGGTTATCCGGGTGCAAGGAAATGGATGCAGGCAGTGGCAACATGGATGTTAACATTTTGCTTATCTGGATGTAATGATATGGATGTTGGCAGTGGTAACATGGATGTTAAACTCTTGCTTCTCCGGATGCAATGAAATCGATGCAGTGGCAACGAGGATGTTACTTCTCCGGGCGCAATGAAATGGGCGCAGCGCTAACCGGCAACATGGATGATAACATCTTGCTTCTCCGGACGCAATGAAATGGATGAAGTGGTAACATGGATGCTGACATCTTACTTATCCGGGCGCAATGAAATGGACGCAGCGCTAACCGGCAACATGGATGTTAGCATCTTGCTTCTCTGGGTGCAATCAAATGGATGCAGTGGTATCAAGGATGTTAGCATCTTGCTTCTGCGGGTGCAATGAAATGGATGTCCTGGCAACATGGAGGTTAGCATCTTGCTTCTCTGGATGCAATTAAATGGATGCAGTGGCAACATGGATGTTAACATCTTGCTTCTCCAGGTGCAATGAAATGGACGCAGCGGTAACATGGATGTGAACATCTTGCTTATCTGGATGCAATCAAATGGATGCAGTGGTACTGTTGATGGACGAAATCCTGCATCAGTTTTCTTCTGCCAGCCTTCCCTGCCAACCCTGAATCTTAATATTGATTAGCCCCAAAAGGGTCAAAAAGGGCACGTGCGCGAATGACCGAAATCCTGCATGACCTTTATGTGTTAGCAACATTGAGATTAGAGGGGCAGGGGGAGATCAAGCACTGACAACTGTATGCTGTTGATTTAGCAGGTCATGCACGATTTTGTCCATCCACCGTATCAAGGATGTTAGCATCTTGCTTCTCCGGGTGCAATGTAATCGATGCAGTGGTATCAAGGATGTTAGCATCTTGCTTCTCCGGATGCAGTGAAATGGATGCAGTGGAAACAAGGATATTAACATCTTGTTTATCCGGATGCAATGAAATGGATGCAGTCGTAACATGAAACTGCCAGAATTCACAGTGAAAACGCCAAAAAGCATGAAACGAGCGAATTACCGAAAACGAAAAAATGTATGAAATTAGTGCGCAAAAATGCATAAAGCGAACCGCAAAAAATACGCCTTGTGCAAAAATTAGCGCTTTGGCCCTGGCAAGGTCTTGAAGCAAATCTGCAACATTGAAGAATTACCACAGCCAAAACACCGCTTGAGGTCAACAAATGGCGGATTAACCCAGCGTTGGATACATGGGTACTACTACTACTACTACTACTACGACTCCTACTCCTACTCCTACTACTCCTCCTACTACTACTACTCCTACTCCTGCTCATACTCCTACTCCTGCTTCTTATGCTACTATTATTACTACTACTACTACTACTACCACTACGACTACGACTACGACTACTACTACTACTACTACTACTACTAGTGCTAGTACTAATTACTACTGGTACTACTACTAGATACTACTAGTACTACTGCTTCTACTACGTAACACGAGGACGAGTACTACTACTAAGGAGTAGTAGCAGCAGCAGTAGTACCAGAGAGGAAAATCCTTGAACGACCATGGGTCATGGTCAGAATTGTGAAACATGCACACCAATGTATGTACAAGCCCTATTCCAGTACTCGTAATACCAGCAGCAGCGGTGTGGTAGTTGTTGGTGTGTAGTGCTAGTAGCCGTCAGAATAATGGCAATCGTGGTTAATGGTCATAGTAACAATAGTACGGCTGCTTTGCGAGTCGAAACAAACGCGCACTTTCGTCTCAGCACCGATGATCGGAGGTTTCGAAGCAAGGTATGCTTCATCTGCATGCAGGTACATGCTGCATTTGCCTAACAAGTGCCGGACCTTGCATTGCAAAACTTGCTGCATAGCAAACTGTAGACAAACTGAAGAACTGGCAGGGATGCGGAGGATGGCTTTCGATTCTGTCACTGCTATGTAAGCCTGGCACGAACCTGTTCAACCTGTTTCAGTCAAGCGACCTACCAAATTCCTCGGCGCCAACACAAGCATCATGGCATGTGGAGCATTTGGGATCCATACAAGGAGTTGCCAGAGAGCAGCAAAAAAGACAACACCTTACCAACCAAGCTCACGGCGTCTTCACCCAGTGCAGTAACGGACCATTCCTGGCGTCACCCTCCACGCGCTTCTTCAGCAACATCTCGTACGTCACGAAGAAAACAATGGACACAAAAATGGTGAAGACGATCGTGACGATCCTGCAAGTTTGAAGGCAAGCCATGGTTCCTGAGCCCTCGAGCAAATTGTTTCTGGTACTCGGCACAGAATCAAGGAAGCTTGCTTAAATGTCGAGGGCTTTTCTGACAGGCGCGTGACGAACTATCAACAGAATGGTGACACGATTGGTCTTCTGTCCCTCCAAACAAGCTGTAAGGCTAAGGATCATCAGATATTTCGGAAAGACGCCCACATGCAGGAAGAGGATGTCGGGCCAGCGGTCGAACCTTCCAGGTCAGCTACTGAAAGACCGTCGCTTCATTCTGAGATCTCAGGGAAGCGCTCAGCAAATTCGGGTGTCATGCGTTACGTTCCAGGTTGCCCATGATTAGCTCCTACTGTAATCGGCCCGGCCTGAAACATAGTTTGATCATCAGCTTCAGCCTCAGCTGTCAGGAAAGGATTTGCCACAGGACTAGACGTAGTAGGCATAAACACTCAGCACCATTTTTGTTACATGTATTCATCATGCTGTTTAATTGCGGCATCCCCTCTCTCACTATGTGAATAAATAATGCTTTAACATTTCAGCCATCAGTGCATCTGGGATACAAGGCCTCCATAGCTCCGTACGTGGACAAAACCTCGGCTGCGAATCTCCTCAACCCGTACTAGCTGCGTGAACTCATTCAACTTGTGGGTCTGGGTTCGATTGATACTCATTGATCGTTAATGACTTTCGATTTGTGAGAATGTCTGCACAAAATTGAAGGGCTAAGGTCTAGCTTTTGCGCGACGTATGCCTCTGGCACTGAATTGAAAAATCTGCTGCTGGTTGTCGAGCTGGATACTGCAAGAGATCACTGACAAAGCCCTGAGCCAACTCCTACAAGCAGGAGCACTCATTGAAGATAGCTCGGCAGCCCCTCACCGTGGGGAACAGCTAGGGAATCAGACCTGAACAGCATTGGCCACTATTGATGGTCTTGGCGCTCCAATGAGTACGTGCACGTTGACCAGCCGAATGAGCAGAGTGGTGCCATAGCTGAGCATGCGCCAGAAGCCCTGCAAACGAAAGATACGTGCACCGTGTCAATTACCCAAAAATGCTGACGTGCTAATGGCGCAAGCTTGCAGGCTCGCGGGCTATGCGGGCTTGCGGGCTGCAGATTCATGAGCGCGTAGGCTAAAGACTCGAGGGGGCAGCTCAGTGAAGTCATTGCGTCCACCTGAAGTCCCTCCGTGTTCTGGCTGACGTTCGACGATGAGTAGCTGAACCTTTGACATGCAGCTTTGCTAAACTAGCCCTTAGCAGGTTACGACGATCCTTGAGCTTAAAGATTGTCAATGCAGCTACAAGTACGGGACTGGAATCAGGTGCTATGATGAGTCTACATGCCGTGGATCCATTGAGATGTTCCATGGCATGTAGCCTAGATTGGCCTAGATATACCTAGTATCTGACCAAGTTGCACCAGCGGCAGCATCATGAAGTAATACGAGAAATCCTGGGACGCCGCCGCGCATGCCGGCGCATGCTACACATGACACAAATTTCACGGCACATATTGATGTCTTAGAGGCGGTTTCATAGCAGACTGATGAGGACAGTCTCGTGTGACGCTTGTAAACTTGGTGGTCCTTTTCCATCAGGCACGAACGCTATGAAATCGTCAATGGCATGATGCTCCTCAAGATGATCTCTCCTTTGGCCAAGTATTGGCCCTCGAAACTAGAGACACCTCTTCCACCCCAACGCCAAGAAGCGGAGAAGCCCAAGGCATGCCGCTTCAGCTGGACCCAGCGTGCCATGCAGGTGCCTTGTCTTGTGACATCAAACATGATACCTATCACTGTAACCCAATGACCCCAAGCGCAAAGTGCACGAGTCAAGCGCGGAACCCCACCAATCGCCCTGCTCTTCTGGCACGTAGTTCATCATTGGCGTCATGATGGGCTCTACTGTGGTTTTACCTCAGCTTCCAATTCATAAGGAGAAACGGGCGGCAAGCGCGCAATGCCACATCAGATTGCTTGAGCTGTTGGCCCGAGGTTACACGCACGAATCATAAAGGAGCTGCACAGGTGCCTCACAAAATCGCTTATGGGTGAAGACTAAGCCCAGCAGCCGTGCGCTGCCCTTTTGCACAGCCGAGGTTCCCAAGGTCATAAGGAAGCACTTGATCCCCATGTGGTAATCCTCCGCGATCCACTGTACATCCCAGCCACCAACCTTCCTGATTCAGGTTGCCAGTGATCGAAGGAGGGGCAGATGTTGCGACAGCCAGCTGCACACACCAAGCCAACATCTGAAGCCTTGTGTGAAGCCTCCTGTTTGTTGGCATTGCTTAGTAGACATCATGCTTGTCATCCTCACTGACTGGAAAACCATAGCTGACCACTGCCCCATTCGAGCACGAAATTGAAATCAACTACTTGCCAGCAACTCAGCAAGCTTAACACGATTCGACTTCAATCCAAAACCACGGAAAGCAAGCACCATCTGCTGTTTCTGCAAAACACTTCTCCAAGGCCTCGCCAACGCCACGGGCAACGAGTAGGTAGAGTAAGGGAAGCGTACAGCGCTGGGGTCTGACAGGCCCGCCAACTCCTCTCGAAGATGCTAAACTTCCTCTACAAAGAGCTTACCAAAGGCCAAAAGAGTGCAAGAGTCCAGGCATGGTATGCATGGTCTTGGGATCAGAAGCGTAGCAGCAGCAGAAAAGTTACCATTTGCAGCACGTTGGAAGTCTCATAGCCTGGCTCCTGCATGGATGTAAACATGGTTCCCACGACAACAGGCGCCGGCTGGCGATGGTAGTTCTTCCTTGCATTTGCTCATGCATCATGAACACGCGTTACTGCATGAAATGCAAGCCCCTGTGCTGAGCCCTATTGCAGGAACCCAGTCGGTCATGGCTTGTCAGCGAATGTTTGCATCTCAAGCTCATGTGGAACACTGGCGACTGCCAAATCTTGGTGTACCTATCGAGGGGATCGCATTCCGCGAAGTTCCAGGACAACGTCTCAAAGTATCCTGGGCCAGCGGGACAGACGATAGATGCTGCCCAAGAACCTCATGGCATGTCTGGACCGCGCCTTGACCAAACTCAGAGTCCGCGTCTGCGACTGTCAGAAGCGTGTTCTCATACGAATGCACCTTTCTTTCACTCGATGCTACTGGTGTGAGGAATGGCCATGAAGACAACCATACAGAATCACACTGTGCTTCTAATCCCCCATGCACTGTGTTGTGATGAAGTACTCCACTGTGAAGTGACACACTCCTTGTTTAGACCAAGCCGTCTGCAAGCTTCATGGCACAAGACACCGGGATCATCTTACTCTGCGGCTCCACGCTGACTCTTTCGGGGAGAAGCTTAGATTATTCAAGGCCAGCACCGCAATGCGCCGCAGGTGAAATGCCATGAATAACTTCTGGCAACTTTTGCTTGCTTCCGTGAACTCTCTGACTTCTGGCCCTGTGTTGGCCTGCTAAATTTGGAACCCCTGCAGGCCGGCATCTGATCGCATTGGAAAGCTAATTCTTTTCGTTGGCTGTCTGAACAAGTCGAAAGAGAGTGCGCGCGCCCACATATTTGCAAGACGTGCCCTTCCTTGGCAGCCAGCGCGATGGTTCACTATTTGGTTGACCGAACCGTCTCAGGAGCAGAACTGGCTTCAAGTCACACCGATTCCCCACCCATGCTGCTAGTGTCACAGCATCCCGGTGTAGTCTGCCACCAGCACTGACGATGTTTCATCAGTCGAATCGGACGCTTGGAGTTTGAGAGAGCGCAGTGGTCAGAGAGGAGTGGGGTCCAAAAAGCACGTGTCATCACAGAATGCCTCTCATGATTCACTATCTTTCAGTGTATTCTTCAGCTCGTCTCTGAAATCCTGACCACCTCGGGATAACAGGAGAAGTTGATCTCCAAACTGGGTTTAGTTTCTAATTTCTCGAATTTCTCACTTTTGAACCCTTCCATATCCCGGAGGGAACTCAAAGTAGACCTCCAAATTGTGCTGATGATGCCTCTGCGGGAGAGGGCAGGGGGGGCGAGCATCATCAGCACAATTGCCAAATATCGGAAATACGTGAAAAGATTGGTTAAAAACCAGGCAAAATGCGCAGTTGACGGTGTTGCGAACCCACGCAGGTCCTTTCACACATTCGTCAATAGCTGATGGCAGCACCTGTTTTGAGTTTACAGTATATCTTCAGTCAGGGCCGGCTTTAAGCCCGGCCCCGAAAACCAGAGTAAAGGGGTAGGAAGTATATTTGTCAAACTTGTTCGATTAGTGAGGTAGGGACAGTATTGAAAGATATTGAAAGTGTAGGAGAAGAAGTTTTAGTGCCCAGAAGCCTGAAGAAGGAGAAGCCCGCCCCAGTGATGCTGATGATGCTGGCCCCACTTGCCCAGCATCATGTGGCATCATTGGGGGTCAACTTTTCCAGTCATAATTCCAATTGTGCTGAGGATGCCGGCGTACGCGGACGGGGCGAACGTGCGCACCCCATGCACGAGCATCAACAGTATAATTCGGGAGTCTCCTTTAATGTTGGACCCTGTTGGGCACACTCGTTAATGTCAAGTTTTGGGGGCTTATTCTGGATCTGGGATATGTTATAGGGATCCTCTTCAATGTCAAGTTTTGGGTGCCAAAATAATTGTTTTTTTAAGGTTTGAAAAGTCAAAACATTTAGTTTGAACTTAAATAGAAATTATCTTCATCTGATGAGTCGAAGCTTAAGGGGCCTTAATTCCTAAAACCTTACTATTTGCTTTGAAGCCCTGAACAGCCCAGAGGTTTGCTTAAGGGTACCTAGTTAGTTCCTGCAACCTTCTTATCCTCTTTACAAAGAGCTCTCAGTAAAAACTTGTTGGGCTCTGAAGCACCTTCCAAGCTTCACAATGCCCAACCGTCCTGGGGGGGCCTGCTGAAATAAGGCTTGGCCTCAACAGCTTTAATGCTTAGAGGCCTGGATTTATAAAACCCTATACAATCTTAAGGCTCCAAATCCAGAGAGCCNNTACTTGGTTTGCCTAGCCTTGAACATTATCCAATCTATAATGGCCAATCGTCCTGGGGGGCCTGCTGAAATAAGGCCAGGCCTTTTGAAATCAATTGAAGCCTGGCTCAAATTCCGTTTAGAATCAAATGAAATCGAATGAAATTCGAATTAAAACCCATGTAAACCTAATTAAAACGCGTTTAAAGTTAATTGGAATCTAGTTAACATTCTATCAAAATCACTTGAAATCGAATTAAAACCCGCGACGAAAACTAATTGAAGTCGCATTAAATGAAATTCCATTAAAATCAGTTAAAATCGAATTAAAATCCAATAAAAACCTATTGAAATCGAATCAAAATGAGAGTAAAACCATTGAAATCGATTTAAAACGCAATTGAAACCCATTGAAACCTAATTACAATTCTATTAGAATCAATTGAAGTCTCATCAAAATCCAATGTTAGAGGGACGGGATTACCATCAGGATTCAGCTCCGACCCCTCAAACAATTTTAATTCAGGGTCCCCTAAGTTGTTTGGGGGGGTTCGTACATTAGGGTCCATCATTAACACGCTGAGAGGTCTTTGTGTCACTCGCACACATTATGAAGTAACCTGCCAAAAAAGGCCTCAGCCCTTCCAAGACCGCTGTCGAAGTGACCGACACCCCACCATTTCATCACTGCCGCAACTATAAAGAAAATCCAGAACCCTTTCACAATCATCATGAAGCATCATGAAGCAATCACGTTTGCTATACCCGAAAACTGTCACCCAGACCCCATAAAACCTCCATGAACCATTGTCAGCCCAGAAACGCCTTGGCAAGCAATTTCAAACTCATCATACAACTCGTAAATCACCATGATAGCCTTATCAACCCCTTAATGCCTGGCCGAGCGTGCACGGGCGGCTTACCATAAGCCTGCAGAAGTAAAACAAACCCCCCAAAGCTGGCCGCACTTGGCCAGCATATGCCAGCATCATCAGCATCATTGGAACTCCATCTCTCCAGGTTTAGGCTCCGCTATACCCCTTGGCTCTCGTTGAAGCTTTTCCCTGCTGGGGGCCCACAGAGGTCTCGGCGCGAGACGAATCCCTGCCGACTTGGCAAGTATTCGACCTTGCGTTTGAAGCTGGAAGAACTAAGCCTCCAAGAACGCATGCGAGGGACCACCCAAATGACTGGGATACCTGTACCTAGCACAAACATGTGCAAAGCCATCTTGGGATTTGCTGCCCGATGATTGCCCCACCTTCCTCAGCAGGTAGCGAAAGGCGTAGCTCACATTGCTCGCCTTGCCCGGTGGGTCGTTGGGAAGGTTCGCCGGGTGGTAGCACGCCTGCACATCCTGAGCTTTGGCTATGAGTTTATCAAAATGTGGTACATCTTAGGATACTTGAGCTGCAGTTCACGGCCCAATTGAACCTGCATGCGTCATGGCCATTTTGCTTGGGAAAACTTCATGCAGCGCAGTAGCCGAGCTCAAAAGCGCACGCCTCTGCCATGCACTAGTGTAGCAGGGTGGTGGTGGTGGTGGTGGCGGCGGCGGCGGCGGCGGCAGCGGCGGCGGCGGCGGGGGCGG